TATGAAGCAATATACTATTTCAAGATAAGATCTTATGGACTAGGAATACAGTACTAATCAGATTTTTTATTTAGAAATAAGATTAGAGAGCTTAGATTTGAATGCCTCTTATCTAGAGCTTGCCTGATAAACAGGTTTTTGGAAGATATTGACTAATAGACAGAACATACTGTGTGACATGACCAAAGATCAAGAAATCAAGAAATTGGAATCAGAATCAACTATGGCTGAAAGTGCTACAGAATCATATATAACTATCTTACAGAGTGAGGACAAGAGAATTGTGGTTCATTCCCACATTTCTATGCCTTCTCCTGGTACAGCAAATGCACCTTGGTTTGACAGCAGAGATGCTACCCTGTTTATTGAAAGGTTTTATCAGATGTGCAAGAATCATGAGGTAATTGACTCTAAAAACATTATTGAATGATTGGCCAGATACTGTGTTACATGGATTGAAGAATGAATGAAGATCTTGAAAGACTACAAAGAAGGTAATTGGGAAGTATTTTCTAAAGAGATTATTCATAAATTTCATGATCAAGACATTACTTACAAGATTCACTGACAGAATTATCTTCAGGCAATTACAAAAAAACCACATGCTTGGAATGGCAACATTCACATTATTATTATTATTTTATTATTATTATTATTCATTATAGTCTTATGCAGTCAGTGACTATGAAGACTACCTAACAACTTCTCTGTTAGAATTTACTTAGTATACATTGTAGAAACTGAATAAAGAAAAAAAATTCAAAGTATTTCAAGGCAATATGAGATGTTCTTTCTCCACAAAAGTCAAATAGCAGATAGAGCATAATATTAATTTTAAAGGAAAATAATAATTCTTGTAGCAATGTGATACAAATCAAAAAGAAATAAAATTAGCATATTTGGGAAAGCCACTATCTAGTAGCTATTCCAGTACATTTCAGAAATAAAACTAGCCATTTTAAGCCTAATTCAGTTTTAAAAATAAAATTTAAAGATAGTTGAGAAATATCAAGTTCTTGTTGAATTTTTCTTCTTTCAGTATAATAAGCTGAGCAGTCTAATAGTAGATGCTTTGGATTTTCAACACAATTACAGAAATAGCATAAGTTGGAAAAGTAGTCAGATAATCTTATTAGATAAGATCTGAAATATCTATAACCAAGCTTTAATTGGCAAATAGTTGACCATATCTTCTTAGATATAGAAAAAGTAGATGCTTTCCATCTGGGTTTTATTTTAAATTAAGAGTAGTGATTTGTAGAACTTTCTCTATTAAAAAGATCTTTAAACCACTCTATTATTGCTTGTTCTTTTATTTGTCTTTTTATATAAGTAAGAGATATATATCTTTCAGAAGAAACTTGATTTAATTCTGTAGCTTTCTTTGCTGCTAGATCAGCTTCTTCATTTCCATGTATATTTACATGTGCAGGAACCCAATAAAGATGTAGATTAATTTGCTGACCCTTGGCCCTACAGCTGCCCTAGTTCTGGAGTTCTTAAGGCCTATCCAGGGGTCAACCAGGCCTGTAGAGAATGCAAACACAGAGAAATACATCTTAAGCTATTATACATGCATCTATAATAACCAACTGCTGTGAACTGTTCTCTCAAGCATTAATCATTCTGATTCTAGTTAAGCCACTACTGCTCAGCCTACTGATCTAGTAACTAGTTCTAGAAGCTAGCTAGTCTACTAGCTACTAAACCCCACCTTCCAGTTGCTAATCTCAGCATCCTAGCCTACCAATTAGCTGTCACGGTCTCGCCATTAATGACTAACTAATTATCTCAAGAGATAGTTGACTATCTCAAGAGATAACCAGGGGTGCCCTTGTTAGGTGGTTTTCAAATCTATTCCCCTGAATTGGCGCCCCACTTAGTCACCCAATTATTAGTTATTATTGGATCACTAGGTGGAGTAGCTTTTAGTAGTGCAGTAGAGCCTACCCACTCACATTCATTTTAGCTTCACCAGATGCTAGGTGGACCCACTATTTCTATTCAATCATCAGTTATTATTAGGTAAAAGATAGTAAGTAGCTTAGTAGAGCCATGAGCATACATGAGTTGCCTTTTACACTGCAACTTTTGGTGGGTAAAAAAGTGTGCTAGTTGAAGAATTTGAACCCCACACTTTAGAGTGCACCTGCAGCTCATTTTACCAGTGAGCCACCTGGCACCACAGCATCTACAAACTCTGCTGGTGCAGGGGGAACAACAACAACAACTTAAAGAAGGTTAGCTGTAAACTGAAATGTGATAGAGAATACTCACATTTCCAGCTGAAACTGGAGCAACAACTGCAGGGGGGGAGGCAGAGTGGCAGAACTCTAACTCCATCAGCACACAAATCAATATCAGCTTGTGAGAAGTACTTACAGCTTGAGCTGGTGCAGAAAGAATGATGATAACTGATAAAGAAAAAAAAGAAAGAACAACAATACTCTAGAACTATTAGTTATAAACACTTTTCAAACTTCTTATAATTACTTACTAAAGGCTTAATCTTATCTGTAAAAGAAGAGATGAGAATTCTTCTGAGAAAGAAAAACAGAGACAAGTCATAAAAGAAGAGAAAAGAGAACTGCACACTAGCAGCAACTGCTAGCAAGCATCAGTTTCTTTATGAATCAAATCCCACATAAAGACAAAATCTAATAACCACACAAAACAAAGACACAATCAGAGATAAACTTATTAACTTGTGGTTTTTTGATCAAATATACAGAATATCAAAGTAAAGCTATTTTTTCTTTCAGAATATTAGAGATCTTCTACAAGTCTGTCTCCCATATGAAGCAGTGCTTGAAGAGTTTACTTATCTTGATAATAATAATATAGACTAGAGAAGAAAGAGAAGAAAAGAAGAGAAAGAAAAAGCAAGAGAAAGCTCTCTCTTAAGCTAGTATTTATTATCTAATAGTGATACAGAGCTAGTGAGAACAATAAAGACTTTCTACACATTATTATATTATTGAGTTCTGTTGTATTACTAGAGTTGTGTTAATATTATATCTTTAGTGAGGCTGTACTTTTTTTCTTATGAGGAAATTTTTATTTTTCCCAAGAGATTTTTTGTTTTCTACTCATGAAGGTTTTTAATGAGATAGCTATCTTGAGAAACCAAGACTTACAAGAAAGGGGAATTTGTAAGAATTTGCTATAAATCTCTTATATAAATAAACAGCACCTATGACAGCTAGAGATCTTAGCTTGCAAGCTGCTGGAAGCTGCATGTGTTCTTGTAAGACACTAAGTCATGTGCTTATAAGCACACATAAAAGACTGTTACTGTGTGAATCTCTTGCTGAAAGCTAGTGGCAATCTTGTTTACTAGTCATATATAGTTGCTAGAATACAGATCTCTTATCTTATATACTCTTTTTCCATGTATATTTCTCCTAGAGATTCATTGTCATGCTGATCCACATGTACAATCCTCACAATCTCAACTCAATACTGTTATTCTAGAAGATGGAGCTCCAGCACATACCTATTTTTATCAACAAGAGCTCTACAACATATACAAGATCAACCAGTTACTTTAATCTGGCAATTTACCAGATTTGAATATGATTGAGCCTGCCTGAATGTGACTCAAGTGATGTACAACTGCTAAAGATGCTCTATAAGAATCTAAGACTGCTGAATATAAATAAAAGAAAGCCTGGAAAGAGCTGCAACAAGCAAAGATTCAACAGTAGATTAAGCAAATTCCATATTATATTCAAGAGATTATATACTTGAAAGGAGGTAATGAGTATAAAAAAAGTGATTATAAGGTGCCTTGCATATAGAAGAATCAATGACTTAAGAAAAAGCTCTCTCAACAGCAGAATCTTGGGGTGAATTCTTGAGCAGCTTGTCTAAAGACTTTGGAATCTGCTGAAGCTCTAGCTGCTCTATATAATTTAAATAGAGAGAATTCTTGAGAGAATTTGGAACAGAATTCAGATAAGAGTAACTAGTTAATTTCAGGAATACTTTGACTTTTCTAGCAAATTTAGTGGGGTAGTAGATATTTGTAAAACAGTATTATCTGTATAAGCTCTCCAGAAACTTTTGTTCCACATCTCTGTAGATTATTAATTTTGATTGTTAATTTTTACTATTAATTTTATCATTAATTTTCTCTGCAAATTTTTATTATTAATTTTAGCTTGTAAAAATTATTACTGCAAACTGTTTCAAATTCTATTTTAAAATAAGTATAGAGTAAAAATTAATAAAAAACATTAATTAAAGTTAAAATAACTAAACTGATTAATTAATAAAAAAAATATCTTGTATTATTTCAAGAATACTATAAGCTCAGATATAATTGAATAAAAAATTTTTTATCATAATAATAGAAGCTATTGAATTTTATTAATTTATTAAGAACAAAAAATATAAATGTTTCTTATTTTACTTTCCTTTTCAATCATCTAGCAAGCTGGAGGCCAAAACAGGCCAGCTCTGGGGCCACTTTCAGCCCTCAACTCACTAAAACCTTTCTCCACGCACTCTCTCAGGTACCATCCACACACCACACCTCGCACCACACCTCATCACACCACAAACCCAACTACCCTCATCAATCAATCACTCCAGTGCTCCACCAGTCACCCTGCTTCACCCTGCTTCATCCTGGGCACTCTCTCAACATCATACTTCCACAAGCTGAAAATAGCATCACATCCCTTCCTGCCTACCCGGCCATGGCCACGGCCACAGTCTGCCGTGGCCTTTACACTCACCCAGCAGCTACATCATGATACACCCTGGCTCATAAGCAAAACATGAGCAAAGGGGCAACAAAAATGGTGCCCTTTTGCTTACCTGTCAGGCCCTGCCATGGTCTGCTGGTGGCCATCTCTTTTTTTCTCTCTGGGATATTTTATTCTGTCCTCACTATTTCTTTAGGTGATCACTACCAGCTATACCCAGCCAGGCCTTCAGTGCTCTCTCTGTGATTGATCCTTCTCTCTCTCTTCCACACTGTCTCTATCTTTCCCATGGCAGCTGACAGAATGGCCATCTCTGGAGCAGAGGACAATTCTCTTGCTTCAATCAGTGGTGTGGATAGTGGTTTAGGTGACAAATGCTTCTTAGATGATGGAGGTAATGAAACAGATTGTACCTCTGTCTGTAATGATGATGTAGGCAAAGATGGTCTAACCAATGTGCTGGATGACAAGCATTCCTGGCTCCTGAAAGGACTAGCTGATGCATTGAAAGATGATGGTGACTGGCTCTGCAATGAGGAGGAGCATCCACCAGAGCACTACCTTGAAGAGGAAGCTAATCTTGATCCATCCAGTCTTCAACAGCAACAATACAGCCCAAGAACCCAGGAGAAACTTGACTGGGTCAAAGAGCATTGGGAGCAGTAAGTACTTCTCAAGAACTATTACTCTGTCAAAGCCCTGTGAGCTAACTAATCACCTGTCACCATAGGTACTGCAAGTTTGTTGATCGGGATCCTGCTGAAGCATATAATGCTCTCATCATACATTCTCTGAAACTGTTTCTCAGCTGGGTGTGTGACCAGTGCCAAGAAAAGAATGGGAGATGTTGAGGAATCAAGTGTCTCTGCTCTCTTGAGACATTCTGGAAATGGTACCAGCTTGTTTACAAATGTGAAGCCAGCAAGAGGATTGATGAGATGATCATCAGACAGGCTCAGGATGTAAGCAGACTTGCTTGTCTTCCAGTGGTGGTACTGAACTGACCATTTCCTAGTTATTGAAACTCATTGCTGATGAAAAACAGCTCAGCCGTCAGAAATGGGAGAAGGCAACAATGTATGTCCAGGACCTTGTTGAGTATTGTTGTGTACTACTGGCAACAACAGAGATGCTGTTTCTGCTTGGCTGGCTGCGCATCTAATTGATCCTCTTCTGCCAGCTTGCTGGGTACACAGGAAATCAACCAGAGGCATTACTGAACCTTCAATACCAGCATTTGCAGTTGACCCTTGTCCAGGACCCAGGGAGTGAACATCCTCATCTTGTGATTGAGCTTACTGCTGAGTTTACAAAGGGGTTTCTGGGAATGAAGGATGCATAAGAACACCCTTGACTATTTTGACATGATAATTCTGGCTGACCACAAAGTAGCAATACATTCCCGCTTCCAGAGATCATATTTGATCCCACACTCATCCTGAGCCCGCATGTCTTACTGCTGGGAATGCTCTTCCACATCAAGGCCTTCCAATCACTGAACATTGACTGCCCAGAAAATCTCTACAGCCTGAATGTTCTACCGGGCTTAAATGAACAGAGACTGCCACTTCAAGAGGAATTAGCTGATAAATACATCTTCTGCAAGGCAATTTAACAAGGGGAGGTAGTCAGACTCACCCTCAATTTGAAGTACTTCTATGGCAAACTGAAGTAGCAAATGAAGAAAGGTGGTGAGATCACAGGCTTTTTCCAGATTGTCAAGCCATATGTGCTTCATAATAGTGCAGCAAAAGCATACAATAAAAGCTGTAGGTGCTCACTGGTTGTCTCTCTCTCTTGTTTCTATGCTAATACCAGGTGATGCAGCGGACATCAGCAAGCCTCTCCAGAACCTAATCCTTCAACATTCCTGTATTGACACATTTCTAAAACACTACCTTGACCGCAACATCACAGCTGACATCCTCAGCATCTATTGTGACCTTGAACCACAAAAGGCTATCATGGACATGCTGTGCTTGATGAGCCGGTCCATCAACTCTCACCAACCATGGAAGCTCATAGCACAGGAATCTAGATCTATCAACAATCTCCCGCGCATCAAGATACTACAAGCCAATGTGGTTGCCTTGAAAGATATACATGATAAGGTGGCCTCAGAACATTATGAGATCTGGGATGACAGATTAAGGAAAGCACAACACCACCTTCTCAATGAGAAACAGCAAGCAAGAAGTCAATTGAAACAGGATAAACTGGACAAATACAATCAAGAGCAGCCAGTGATTGACAGTAAGCAGCAACTCTCTGGGAAGGTAGTTGATGAAGAGGTGAAAAGTGCACTGGAGCAGACTGAGTACATGAGCCCTGAGCAACTGGAGCTTATTGATGCCATCTTGACACTTCCTGGACAGTCCTGGGAAGCAGAGCAGCAGAGACAGATAAACACAATAAACAAGGTTACCATGTATTGTGGGGTGGAAGAGGGCTCATTGTGCTTCCACAGTCCCACTTAACCAAGGCCAACAATCAGTGCTCCTATCTCAGTGGAGCAACCACTCATTCAGCCACTGGAATTGCCAGTCCAGCAAGCTATTCAGAAAGTGATGAAAGAGAAAAGGCCTACAATCTGTTTCCTCTGCCTCCAAAATTCAAAGCTCCCAGTGCCACAGAGAATCTATTCATTCAAGTGGCCTGGAGAGCTGACCAAGCATTTTGAGAGAAAGCATCTAAGAAAATTTCAACAATTGACCTGCAAGCATTATCATATAGCCATTGACACCCTTGCTGACCTTCTAAATCATGCAGAATTCTCTCATGGGACAGTCACACACAATCTCAAGTACAGGAATCTCTGCAGTTATTTGTACTGAGTACCAACAGCAACACCACTGTACAATGCAGGTGTATATATAGTGTGATCCCTTAGATAAACTAGAATCTATATTTGAGATTTCTTCCTTGCATGGATTTATATACAGCTGGTCCCAAAATAGCTTCCCCATGAGACACTCTGAGTTTGATTCCCAAACCCTAAAGTTAAACCAAGCTTGGTTAGACCTGTAATTACACTAGTTCTTTCAAATTTCACTACTGTAATTCTGTATAATTGGTTGCTTCTATTAGGTAATCCAACCAGCACCTCACTCACATAACCCACATAGATTAGCCAAGATTCCCCTTTAGGTAGCTTAGTGAATGACAAGCATACAAGTTCTCCATCAGGTTATAGCTCTTTGCACTGAAGAGCAAGCATATAAGATTGATTTACAGCTTAATTGGATATTGAAGCTTACAATCAACACTCTGAATAATTATTCTTGTAAATAACAAGATTTTACAAGCACTAAAGAGAGCATACATCAAGATAAACATCTTCTATATATGCAAATCTCTGTAGCTTTCTAGCATCAAGCTGGAGAGCAAGTTGAACTCTGTAGCTTTCTGGCATATAATTAGAGAGTGAGTGAAACATCTGCTAAACACATCTAGCAAGCAAATCAAGCATCTGGCAACACCAAAGCCATGGTGAACTGTACAGATAAATCAGAGCATCAAACTTCTAATCAGAAGACTTCAACAAATCTTTCTACACCCTAAACTGAGCTTAGATAGTCAAGTAGACTTAGAGACAGCCTGCCAAATGATAAGCAGAAGTCTAGAGAGAAGAGTGAACTTCAAATATTGTGCAGAATGATACTGAATTAACAGAAAATAATGCAAAAGTAACAAAAGTTAATGCAAAGACAACAGAAGATAGTATAACAGCTGGCACAGCAAGTGAATCTTCTATCAGATCAAGCAAGCACCACAAACATATCTGCAACAGTGCAGGAGAACCTGGAGCAAGAAGCTCAATAACAAGAAGAAGAAGAGGATTAAGAAATAGACTCTGATGAGAAACTAGAAGAATATGTCAGCAATCTTATAGATATAAATACACAAATCAGCAGAGCAATCACCCAATTCACAAAGATCACAAAGACAGTAAAGAAGTCTATAACTCTAGCTAGAGCCAGCAACTATCTAGCATGAAGTAAAGTCATTCTAAAGATAGTCTGCCAAGTAGGTGTTGAGAAGATTATTCTGGAAAGGCAAGAGATTTCACTATAGTTAGAGTGCTTGAAGATTTCACAATACTGAAATATTCAGAATAATTAGCTATACAGTCTAATCAACAGTATAATATCTGCACAAGCTAGAGAACACTTCAAGAAATCAGATAGTCTGAGTGTCTACAAACTCTGGAAAGCTGTAAGAACAGCCTTCCAAGAGAGACCTGAGATATAGCAGGAAAGTCTACTTACAGAGTTAGTAAGAATAATACTACAATCTGCTGGCTCAGAAAGAAATTATATAGAGAGATTTCTAGCAATCCATAGAAAATTTGAGAGATTAGAATTCAAACAACTGGACTACACTCTACACAATATCTTGAAGATGAACATTATATTCTAATGAAGAGAGTTCAACAGAACTAATTTAATATGGCATGCCAGAGTGAAACAAATCTACCAGAGAAGGATTTGAAAGATCTACTGAAGAATATTCTTCACCAAATTCTCAAGAAAGATCAGAAGAAAGATGAATCTATAAAGCTAAATACAAATGCAACAAGCTCAGATTCTTAAAAGTCTTACAAAAATATAAACTTCAAATTCAATCCAGAGAAGAGCTTACTGCAGAACTGAAACTGCTATATTTGTGGCAAATCTGATTATTTGACTAAATTTTGCAAATCTAACAAGAATTTGAAGCCTAACAAGCCTAAGAAAGACTCTAAAGATAAAGATAAGAAAACAACTACAGTTGCAACAGATAAGATCTATTCAGTTCACAAAGCAGCCTTTTCTATAAAAGAAGTGTGTGAACCCACAGACAAATAAATTCTTGACTCTGGAGCTAGATCTCACACAACCTCACATACAGATCTAGTTCAAAAGAACCCAAAGAGTTATGCAACACAACTGCTTATGGCAAACAGTTCAAAATCAGTCACCAGAGAATTTGGCATGGCCAGTATCCAAACCAACAATAGTGAATTGAGCATTGGAGGGGTTAGAATTATGCCTGATCTCCAGATTAACCTTATAAGTTTTGGGAAGCTTATACAAGACAGCTTTACAGTAAAACAGCTTTATGTTGATGGAGAACATATCTTTCTACTAGAATTAGCAGATAAAACACAGAGCTTCAAAGCTGTGCTTAACAAGAATGACATTTTAGTCCTACAAACATCTAGAATACATAATTTACTGGCATATGTATTTCCAGTACCTACAAAACTTCTAGAGCTCTGCTATGTAACAGCAACTCTAGAGAATAAAGATGATACACTTTTGGCACCAAATCACCTGGCAAAGAAGCCAGAAATCAAGGAGAATACAATGGCTAATTGGCACAAATGCTGGGGGCATCTCAATACTTATGATATAGCTATTTTAGTTAAAGATCTGAGAATGGTAATGTGAATAAAGAGAGTAAAGAAGCTAGGGTTCTGTAAAGTCTATGCTAAAGCTAAGCAAGCTTGCAATTCATTTAAATCTAGAACATACTCTACAAAGCCTGGAGCTAAAATTTTTATTGATATTGCAGGTGGCAGTCATACTCTATCCACAGACTTCAATTCTTCAAGCTACAGCAGAGTAAAGTATTTCCTACTTATAACAGATGATGTCACACAATACAGATGAATCTATCTTCTGAAGAAGCAGGTAGAAGCTCCAGAAACTCTAAAGAACAGGATCAACATGATCAAAGCATTCACTAAATAAAAGATCAGCACTATACTGTTCAATAAAGCTTCTGAATTAACAAGCCAACAACTGGCTGAATTTTACAGAAGCAAGAGTATACAACAAAAAATTATATATCTATATACATCTCAACAAGATGAAATAAGTGAATGAGGAATACAACTTCTTTGCAAGCAAACAAGAAGTGTACTTATAGACTCAGAACTACTGAATGAGTTATGGGGC